TTATAAAATAATGCCCACCATATTTTCAGTAATTGCTCTTCATGCAAAAATAAAACTATTTTCACTAGGCCTTTGGATGGCTTTTGTAAGAAACAAAGTTTATTGTAAATAATATGCACATTTTTAAACATTTGCATACTGAAAAGGGTGCGATATTTCATATACTGTAGAATTCTGACCAGTAGCTCTATCAAAAAGTTGTCGGGACAAAAGATTTATTATATACTGAAATAAAACTAAATAAAAAAGCCTTAGCGTTTTTAAAAGTACCAAAAAATAAACAAAAGCTTTTTTATGCTGATTAATACTTACTTTCATATGCCAAACTTGTTAAACGTGTTCAAAAGGCTTTATATCTTAAATTTAAAAAAAAAACTAGAAAAAAACTAAGCATATCCTCTTAAGAAATACTTGAATAATAAACAAAGTGACAGAAAAATTGAATGGTAAAAAACATGTAATGAACACCCCCTCCGCCTACGTCATCTTCCGTAATTAATTTCTGATATGTATCTTAGATAGATAGGGCAAATCCTTATCACAGGAAACAACATTGAGAAAATGTCTGTTGAGTGAAAATAGGGCTGAGATTAGATTTCACTTACGCATCCTTCAGACCAATTTTTTAATATTTTGTTTTTCCTGAACATGAACAATGCACTAATGCCGACACATGCATGAACACTCACACACACGTGCACACAAAAACGTATAGTGAACAAAAACACAAAAACACACAAAAACATTTACTCAAAAACAATGAACAAAAACAAACACACAGCCCACATAGACACCAGAATTTAAACGTAAGTGTTAAGGATCAGAAGGCTTAAAAACACCATAGCATTTAGTTAATTTTATTCACGCAGTCTTTGAAATACTTAAAAGCTTATATTATGGAAACAGTTTATACGTTATACTTTTTTTTATTTTAAAGATATTGTGCTCTAAAAGTTATAAAAAAGCCATCGCTTCCCTTCCATAATTTCGTACCCAAAATAAAATTGGAAGTCAGTCGATTACTCAGTGAAATGATCTCATACACAGTTTAAAAAAGTATAATGAGAATATTTTTCACAGGAATCGAATACTAGAATCGTCGAACAACTGCACTGTATGCCGAGACAAAGCCGGAACTTGAATACGGAAAGAACAAAAATTACCCACAAGTGGAGGGAACCTACGCATGTAGACATAAGTGGCATACGCAAAAAAGATTGACAATGCTAATTTGTTCTGTTAAATATTACTACCTCTGTCTATTACTGGATTTTGACACGCTTAACATAAATTCTGCATCAACAGTTTAGTTAAAAAGTTGCGGAACTAAATCATCGTGAAGCGCCGCCACCTCTATTATTAACCAAATACTAGGCCTATGACAGAATCCCAACGTTTCATGGCGATCGGATGAATAATGTAGTAATGGATAAAATACAGAAAAAAAGTTTTCACATGTACAACTGTAAGTGTCCATCTGACGCCTCTTATAACCTTCTGATTTAGGGGCCATCCACAATCGTCGTCACGCATTTTAACGACTTACAAAGAGCCAGACTCCCCCCCCCCCCCCCCACAAAAAAAAAATTAAATATAAAAAATACGCCATCTTTGAATAATATTTTTACATAAATAATGTCCAATTTACTCCCAATGTTTAATTAATTTCTAAATAGTATAAACTATTTGTGAATTAGATGTACAAAACACTATGTAAGTAAATTTATATATGCTGACTAGTGTCTGACAAAATGCGCTGAAGTGGTGATTGCACGGTTAGGAAGTATTTCACGATACATTTATCCACTCGATACTTGCGAGGCTAAGAATGGGATTTATGTAAACAGTTCAATCTAGCGCTGTAAAGCAAATCTGGAGGCGACCGTGTAGTTCTCTACGACTTCGGTATTTTTGTTTGATTCATCCGATGTAAATAATTATAAAAACCAAGACGAAGAAATAGTACTTCAATTAAAACCTAAGTTACACAAACAGTTCGATCAGAGTTTCTTCCAAGCATCTCTTCAAGTCGACCCCCTCCCCCCGAACAAAATGGAAATTAAATAGAAAACATACACTTTTACCAGTGTCCGCTCCCCCCCCCCCCACCACCAGCCGGAAAGCAGTGTACCCCCACCCCCGAAAATATCAAGTGCCCCCCGGAGAAAAAAGTCTGGAAGAAACACTGAGTTCAATGTAGTACAGTATAGCTAAGTAAAGTAAGTTGTAGGAAAAATATACGCTTTTTTTACTTATAAGTATAATACGTCATATGTAAAAAAAACTAAGTTCATAAATTAGGTAGAAAAGACATAATTTATAAAAGATCAAAACGACAACCACTGAAATCTATCCTGAATAAACTCAGCATAAATGTACATAACAGGACAACTGTTATATATCTTGACATAATTAGCTACACAATTACATGAATACATGAATAGTTTTTAATGATTGCATGTTTATCACTACGCAAAAAAATTAACGTTTCGGTTATTCATTGCCATTTAAAAATACGGATATCAGATCGTTTATTTGTCATATACACACTACCACACAGACACACTCATATATATATATATATATATATATATATATATATATATATATATATATATATATATATATATATATATATATATATATATATATATATATATATATGTGTGTGTGTGATGTTGTTGTGTCAATTTCAAATATATTGGTAGTCGCTGCAAATCAGGACAAAGTGAAAACATTAAACAGGGATATGCTTTTATTAATTTTCTTGATAAAATTGAAGCGAGGAAATAACCCGTATCTTTTAATAAATGAAGATTGTTAACTGATAATTAATTTGTATTCCATTTAATATGCAAATATATATATATATATATGTATATGTATATATATATATATATATATATATATATATATATATATATATATATATATAATAAATTATCTCAGACAAAATATCTCACAGCAAACTTTTAATAGTGTATTGAATTATTTCAGTTGATCTGAACATTTTTTTGTTGACTGTCATATGGTTTTGTTTACTTTTTTCTACGCATAATAATTGTGAATGAAATGAATTTGTTAAACCTAACAAACAAATGTGAATGGGTCTTCAGGTTCATTAAGTAAAACTATGGTTTATATGCATCATCAACACAAAATAAAATTTACATTTCTATGCACATCGTTATGATCACACCTTTCCAATACTATGCGATCATGCATTGTGTGAACTCTTGCTCGAGATGTTCTAATTTGAGACATGTTCTTGGCTGAGACATACTTAATCAACATTTTCTAACAGTTTGCAAATCACGGTTGTGACATGCGTATATATTTGCGTTTGTATCCGTGTTTGTGTTTTGTTTACGTTTATATTTTCTTTTGTGTTTGCGTTTGCTTTTGTTTTTGTTTTTGCGTTTGTTTTGTGTTTTCGTTTGTGTTTGTGTTTGCTTTTGTTTCATTTAGCGTTATGTTTGCGTTTCTTTTTGTGTTTGTATTTTAAGTTTTGTTATTTGTGGTTAGTGTTATGTTTAAAGTGAGATTTGGGTTTAGGGTTTTCTTTTTCTTTTGTCAAACGTCCTTGCCGGGTAATACTGCTTAAAGGGGTAAGCTACCGTTTAAAAAAAAGGTTAATACTCTTTAGCAAACAATTGTTACTCTATAGAATTTCCACTAAACAAAATGGTGATGAAAATCTTGGTAACCATGACAACGGCTGCCATCTAGAACTAACCGTTCGTAGGATTTCCACCATTCATAAAATATTATATTTTATGCCCAATGAACAATGAATTCATAATCTTCTATCATATTTTGGAGTACTCAGCCAAAAATGTTAAGTGCTTATCTTTAAACAGATTTATAATAATTTTTTTTAAAATTTGGGTCCGTTAAAAACACCTGGTTTAATGCCCCAAAATTCCCCAAAATTCAGTTTTTTTGGCTGGAAGATGACAGGTAAGTAATCGACCTGATACTTAGTCAGGAAAAACAGTCCAGCTATAAAATAGAATTGCAATTAAAGAAAAAAAATGCTTGACGTTTAAAAATAGTAAAATTTAAGCTGTTGACGGCTTTATTTGCCAACCTAACTATAGAATATAATCATAACTGCGTTCCAGTACTTGTATTTCAGTTTCAAGTTTCGATTTCTGAAAAAAAATATGTATTTTCTCTCTAGTTAAATTATTCTGGCAGCAAAACTTCGATCCCCAAATCCCCGATACTTTTTCTAAAGCCACTTACAAAAGTAAACTTCGTCAGCCTCGAGTTGATATTATATTAGGTTACTTACCGGTGTATTTCCTTCTATCTTCTAAGGTCCGGCTCTTCATTTCACGCTTACTTTCAGCAGGCAGTTGACAAAACAATCGCAGCACGGTAAATAAGAAACTTCTTTCATTCATTCCAACTCAAAGCCATATTAAACTTAATATCAATATCTGTACTCCACCCCCACCCCCTTCCCCTTCCCTCATTTTTCGCCACACTAAACAAAAACCAGCCTCTCAACTACTCCTATCCAACGTTCAGTGTTTCTTCTAGGCATGCACCCGCTCCTCCCCGAAGAGAGTCTACCTACCCCCCCCCCCCACGAGCGAAATGGAATTTATGTAACAAATATGTACTTTTAACAGTCTCCGCCATCCGCTCCCCCCTCCCGGAAATTTAAGTCCCCCTCTCCCAGAAAATTTCAAGTGCCCCCAATCCGGAGAAAAAGTTTTGGAAGAAACACTGCCAATGTTCCCTCCTCAACGCTTCCTCACACGACTCATGAGCACGCTGCCAATGCTCTATTATAAGATTCACAATCAAAATAACATTGAAAATGACATCCACGTTGAAAATAATACTTATCACATCCATACCAAAGACGCTGATTCAACAAAAATATGTTTGCAATATACTTTATTATTTATATAATTATCATATTACTAAGCTTAATTTTCAGTTTGAATTTTTTTTTTAAATTAATTAATTAAAAAGCAACACATGCACAGTACAGATTACGTCTACACTAATTAGACTAGTCAATAAAATTTTAATTAATTAGTCAGTCCAGTCACATAACGTTTTAGAAGATCTTTTATTTAGATGACACGAAATGTTATATCGCTTTCCTCAGCAGGAAGCCAGAGAAAGTGTTGATCACGTGATGCTCTTCTCCGTACAGACTACCACAGTTGGAAGCTTCAACAAAGACCTCATCACCAGCCTCCAACAGCAACACTGCGGAGTTGGCTGATAAGAAAACAGATTTATGGAATCATTCTTTACATTCTAGATATTAACAAAAGACACACTTTCAAATTTGATTTCAAAAAAAAATTTTCCTATCAAATTTTGAAGCTTATTACCCAGTTATTGTTAAACACACCGTACTCAATCCATTGCCGAATATTTTGTGGAGGATTCGTTTTCGATTTGGGGTCGTCCATAACTAACGTAACGCTTTTTTAACGACTTTTACCTTCCCCTCTCCTCCGTCGCATATCGTCACAAAAGCCTGATCCCCCGCCCCTAAAATGATGTCGCACATCAGCCTACAACCCCCCCCCCACCCTCTCTAAATCGTAGTTGAATTTTTCCTAAATTATCGATATTTTTTCCAAAATCTTCTCTGAAATCTAAAAAAAGATTATTTTAATCCACGAGCTGACCCGCGACGTAGCATACGTCATCATTTAGTTGTTTTATTTTCTGCTTATCAGCAATGCATAATTTGTTTGTAAATTCAACACCACCCCCTCCTGCCTTCCCTCCCCCTCCACGTCCCTGTCCAGTGAAAGCAGCCAGTTACAGACAAAGAAAAGATCAATCAGAAATTGTTACCTCCCCTTCGTTTCAAATCGTTTAATACCAAATTATCTGCCCATAGTAGCCGTCACTAACCCGGCTCTACGATTGTAAACATTCTTCGTAAACCAGATTGGTGGGGTTGGGGGTGGTAGCGAAATGCCTGGAGAGTGGGGGAGTAACGGCGTGCGTCTACGTCTTGCCCTGCATGGTCCCCATGAAGAGAAATATATATATATATATAGATTCCTATTACAATTTAATAAAACAGTTTTCTAAAACGCGAAATAACGGCTAAAATTCGTTTTCTAACATTGCTTTTTTTTTTAATAATGCAGAAGTGTGACGTCACACCATCTGAACCCCCACCCCTCTCCCTCATCATACACCGTCACAAAATTACGGACCCGCCCTCCTCCCTTCGAGTGTGACGTCATTTATGGACGAACCCTTTTGAAAAAAACTGATGTCTACTTACCAGCGAGGGACAACTCTTGGTTTGTGTTGCTGTACAGGGACACAACTTTCGTTTTGTTTTTAACAAGAGACAAACTCAGTTCTTTCCCTTTATTAGCAGCGCCGTAGATTTGGAAGAAATATAACCCAGCCTGTATGAAAAAAAATTGCAGATTGTGAGGTGCATAACTGAAACGAGCATAACGAAGAATAAAAATGACAATCGTGCTAAAATTTTAGAAAAATTACGGACATACCGAAAACCGATTCACTAAAAAAAAAACGTAATAATTGACTATGGGGATTTTGATATCTTATATGTTGTTATATTTTTGTTTATTTGTGCGTTTTTGTGTAAGTGTGTGGGAATCAGTTAGCATTTTTTTTTACAAATCTTGTTTTCTTTCTTTCTTTATATTATGCTGTGTTAAAAAAAATATAAGCATAAATACAAATTTAAAAAAAATGTATTGTGTTTAAAATTAGTGTTTGGTTGTATTTCTCTTCTAATGAATACAAATGCGATTCGCATTGCATGGTCTGCATTATTGGCTGATTTTTAAATTAATGATTATGTCCTAGAAATCAAAAACTACTTCAATTTTCAAAATGCAACGTGCGAGTTAATTATGATAACTTGTATCTATTATGGGGTACAGCATGGCCTAGTGGTAGAGAGCTAGACCCGAAAGTCTCGAGTTAGAATCAGGGTTTAAGTCAGTAGGCCGCCACTAAGTCCACCCAACTATGATGGGTACCTAATTAACTTTAGGAAAAGCAAAGGCGGCTGGGCATAGTGCTGACAACACTATCCCTTCAAATGCTCATGTCCCTGAAACAGATGTACTCTACTTCATCTGTCCCCGTGTGTCTTGGGAACTGGCGGGAAAAGATGATGATGAGTGTATCATAATCATGTTAAATAGTTTTGTTAAAATTCATATTAATCACTTACTATGTTGCATCTAAAAACACCATTTGTGTTGTTATAGTTGTCTCCGATATTAGATACAACTTCATTATAAACAACGACATCTTTCAACAGAACATCCAATTGTTTTGATAACCCAACTGTAAACGCGACTTTTTCTGACTGTTCGAATTTGTCATTTGGTTTCTCTGCATTAACCACAGTCGGTCGAGGTGAATTCAAGTCTGGCAACATAAAAATGTATTCTATGAAGAAACGACATTGACACTTTGAATTACCAACACTGTCATAGCGTAGATAGATAGAATTAGACTAGACGAGTTGAGGTTACTAACGACGGTGCGAACTTGACGGTAGACGATTTGGTGCGAGAATATTGTGCGCGTGTTCAATAAAATATTTGTGGCGTGAGTGTGACGTGAGCATGACGCGACAATGTACCGATGACGTAAGGGAAGTTAGTTGAGGGTTAGATATAGTAGAAGACGGGCGTATTCTTTGATATTGTGCAAATGATCTATGAGTGTGTGTTAATAAAGTTCATGTTATTCCATTCAATAAAATATTTATGGCGTGAGTGTGACGTGAGCATGACGCGACATATACCGATGATGTAAGGACGCAGCAGTAGTTAGTTGGGGGTTAGCTATAGTAGATGACGGACGTATTTTGATATTGTGTAAACGATCTATAAGTGTGTGATAATAAAGTTAATGTTTTTTCATAAACGAAGTTGTTGACATTGTTAATTAGTGTCTGCGGAAAATAAGAGTGATTCCCGTCCTCCTTCACAAGTGTAGTAGTTGCAGTGATAATAGCAGAATATAGATACATAGACCAGAACGTATAGAGTTTATACTTATAAACCCCCCATCACACTACTCACCTTGAACTGTACAGTTAAATCTCTGACCACACGACATTAGGCCTACTTACCATAAACTGATCAGTTAAATCTCTGATCACAAGACAGTAGGTCTACTCACCATGTACTGGTCAGTTAAATCTCTGACCACAAGATAGTACCTACCATGTGCGGGGTCATCAGTTTGAGGACACGTGGTTTTGGTACATTCAGGTGGTGAAGATGACCAGGTGCCATCCTCCAGGCATGTCAGTTGGTCAGTGCCGGTCAGTATGTAGCCTGTGTTACATGTGTAGTTTACCGTAGCTTTGAAAATAAGCTCAACAGATCTGAAAGTATCACGTTTTAACCACATTGATCCTTCATTAACACATTTTGACTTCATTTAACAGTATAAAGTCAATATTTATTTTGCTCAATAAGGTGTTACTGGGATACTTATAAAAACACAAACAATTTTATAAACCAGAAAAAAAAATGGTAGACAGAGGTAAATAAAATGTAAAACAAAGAAAAACACAATATAACAACACATTAAATAGTACAAAAATGAACAAAATGTTAAAAAATTAAAATAGAATTTTACGAACAGATAAAATGTAAACAACGTACGAGGTAAATGACCCAAACAAAATGTCTTGTGGGGTCGGGCAGGAACGTGGGACACATTCAGGTGGATCTGGCACCCATTGACCTGATGCCATGCACGTAATTTCCTGCGCCCCTCTTAATTCAAAGCCCCGATCACAAGCGAACCTGGCTGTGCTCAGGTAGGTCATGGCTGTGTAAACTACCTGGCCGTTCAATACTGCTGTTAAATTTCCACAAACAACGGGACTGCACACTGGGTGCGTGTCACTCCACTGACCATTTTCTTGGCAGACTCTTCGCTCCGGGCCTGTGAGGGTGTAGCCCTGGTTACACTGGTACAGCACGTAATTCTTAAAAACGTACGTATCTCCGCTGATGATCCCATTAGGGATCTCTGCAGGGGCGCCACAGTCAACCTCTGTACACCTGAATCGCGTGCTGCTCCAATCTTTTGTCAACTCACATTTGATTTGAGCAGAAGGTACTGAAGACTTGAAGCCAGGTAAACAGGTGTAGTTAACAACAGCACCGTACGTTCTATCCGTGCCTACGCTGACAGCATTTGTTATGAGTGGAGGGTCTGGGCATGTGATGGATAAGCACACAGGCAGCACAGTATCCCAGTTGCCGGTAGGCAAGCAACTGATGCTTGATATACCAGCTCTGAACTCAAATCCTGTGTCACATTGGTATCTGAAAAACATGGCTGGGTTAGATAAACACCAAACAATAAAATAATTTTAAATACTTTTTTGAATTTTTTTTTGCTTAAACATTGCAGATAGTTTGTGACAAAAATTACAATTTTAGAGGCTTTTAAAACAAATGTAGAGATGTATGTGCATAACCCATCTATAGCTTTAACAAACTCCTAATATTATGTTTGGGATTAGGTCAGTAAAACACAGACACTATATGTTTAGGATTAGATAAAATAGCACACAGACACATTTTTTTTAAAGTTTGAATTTTTAAGAGAATAAACCATGTTTACATGTGACCATATGCTAACACTGCGTCTACAAAAATATTTAAATAGTGTGGAGATCTTCAAACCTGACACTATCCCCTATGTAATACTGTGTGTATGTTGTTAGTATTTCTCCATTCTCTATGGTAGGTGGGTTGCTGCATGTTATTTGGTCACAAGATGGAATACTTCTGTCCCAGGTCCCATCTTTCTGACAGACCACTGCGTTATGTCTGGTCTGTAGGTTATTGCCTGCAACACAATTTATAGGGATTATATCAGTGATCTAGTTGGTAGGGTATTGCCTTCAACACAATTTATAGAGATTATATCAGTGATCTAGTCGGTAGGGTATTGCCTGCAACACAATTTATAGAGATTATATCAGTGATCTAGTCGGTAGGGTATTGCCTGCAACACAATTTATAGGGATTATATCAGTGATCTAGTCGGTAGGGTATTGCCTGCAACACAATTTATAGGGATTATATCAGTGATCTAGTCGGTAGGGTATTGCCTGCAACACAATTTATAGGGATTATATCAGTGCTCTGGTCTGTAGGGTATTGCCTGCAATACAATTTATACGGATTACAACGGTAAGGCTTGAAACAATTTATAGCACAAATAGCCACAATCAAGTTATTAGTAAGACATCTTTAAAATAGAACAGCAGAAGATTTTAAAATATTTATATACTTTACTGGTATTCTAGAACACCCCCGTCGTATTCTAGAACACTACCATAAGATTAACTTCCAGAAGAATAAAAAGACAGAAAGACAAACAGCCAGCCCAGCTCTAGGCAAGAGAGTTCATTTATTTAGTTCTAATTACAAATGCTACTTACCAGGTTTGCAAGTGAAGCGAACGGTGGTTCCTTGTTTGACTTCCTCGTCTTGTACAGATGGTATTGTGTTCGCTGACACCTGCGGAAGTGTGCATGTCATCGCTGGAAAGAAAATACATGGTGCCTTTGTTTTTGTAGATCAGTTTTAAATCTATATCTAGTTAAATTTTTTAGATTAATTTAATCACAAAATGGAATAAAATTTAAAAAATCCCACAAAAACATAAACTGTAAATAATACAGCAACTTACGAACACATTTAGGCTTTTCTTCAAAATCCCATTCTTCAGATTCAGTGCACACAGAGGCATTTATGCCACTGAGCTTGTAGCCGTAGTTGCATTCAAACATTACTTTTTTGCCAACAGTGTAATCTCTGCCTTTAACAGTTCCAAATTTTATGTTGCCCGGTGAACCACAATTAATTACTGAAAGTACACAAGACAATTTTTAAAAAAATTCTAGATAAAATATATGACTGTATAGATTTATCACAGATTGACACATATCAGAAATACTTAATTTTCTTATTAATCAATCTATTATCACGAAATAACTTTTAAATTGTGTGAGTTAAAAGCGGCTATTGCTTAGAAAATTTACCTGAGCAGATTGGTGTAATCTGGTCATAGCGGCCCATTGAAAGACACTTTGGAGTTTCTGTGCGATCCAAGCTATATCCTCTGTTGCAGGCATACACAGCTATTGCGCCAGCCTTTGTGTCATTGAAGGTTACTTCTCCATGGAGTGGATTCACTGGAGTTGGGCATTCTGGAAAAAAGAAAATGAAAATATTCAGAGCAAAATGTTGAAAGGTTACATTAGAAACAACCCCCCCCCCCCCAAAAAAAAAACAAACAACAACAACAGCTAAGTGGTTGATAGGATAGTTTTTGTGTGTGCCTTTTACAGTAAAGAGTGCTCAATTAAACGTAATTTTCTTTTTATTTATATGTGAATTTCACCAACAATACATATAGAGTGTTAGACTGATTACAGCTATAAGCTTACGAAGGAAATATGTGTAGTGTGGAATTTTTATCACCTTACTTCTAACCCTTACCCTTAGAAAATGTGGAAGGGCTGAAGCTAAAGTGATCCTTTACAAAATGTGGATGGACTGATATTGGAGAGACCTTAAATTTAACCCTTACCTTTACAAAATGTGGATGGACTGATGCTGATGTCCCCTTTGAAAGCATCCTTCACAGAGGACCAAGCTAAAACATTGCCTTCAAACTTCTCACAGCTGTAGATGAGCTTGTGGACTTCTTGAAGGCTAAGTACTCCATCCCACACATTGAACTGTGTCAGAGAGCCAACAAAAGTCTCACTGGAGCTGAACTGCCCACCCATCACATCCTGCTCTTGTCCAATTATAAACGAACCATTGCCTGCAGAAAATAAGACTTTAGCTACATTTCTTTTTCAAACAATTCAAAGGTTAAGATAGTTGTTTAAATCCCCCCCCCCATATAAACCAAATTATAGTAGGCCCATATGTTACATAACGTGTTGACACATAATAGTGAATTTTATTTTAGGAAAACAAGGATAAGGAAATGAAAACAAAAATTTTTAGTAGATAATTTTCCTCAAATGGATAAATTGAGATCATCATTAAAACAGCGATAAAATTTCACAAAAATGTCTACAAACCTGGGATAGGTTTAGAGGGGGATAAGTCATAGGCCTGGTCTCTCAAAACTCCATCAACGTATAACAACCAGTCTCCCTTGTTGCTCGACCACATCAGTGCCACATGATGCCAGAGACCATCATTCAGCTTCAAGCCAATGGATACTGTTTCATCATTCACAAAGTGTTGTAAACTGAAAACAAAATTCTTTTAGAATTTAGAAAGTGCCAAAGGGAACATTTTCATCATTCACTAAAATTTGTAAAAACAAAATTCTTATAAAATATTTTTTTTTTAAAAATAAAGATATTTCCCTGGTTCAGTAATTTGTTACCAATATTTTTAAATATTGAGTCATGATTGATTATTTTCATCCTTACTTTGAATAGTCTGTGAGTGTCAAGGCATTAGGCACACCTTTTACAGCATAAGAAAATGGAGTTCCCTGGTTAAATTCATCCGTGGTTTGCATCCAAAATGCAACTGTTACATCAGTTAACGGCTTATCAATGACAAACTTGGCATAGTCGTTGATTGTGGGTGTAGCAAAGTCCATTTGGAAGTTGGTATCAAGTTCTAAATTATTTTAAACAACTTTAGTATTATTATCATGTGGGTATGTAAATCAATCTATTATAATTGTTTTTATTTGAAACATGGCTGTTGCGAAACATAAAGGCAAGCTCACGCTTACCATTCACTCGCACTCTAACCTTCACTCCCATTTCTACCCTTCACTCCTAGCTACCCTTCACTCCCACTCTAATCTTTCTCCACTCTACCTTTCACTCCCACTCTACCCTTCACTCCCACTCTGCCCTTCACTCTCACTCTGCCCTTCACTCCCACTCTGCCCTTCACTCTCACTCTACCCTTCACTCCCACTCTACCCTTCACTCCCACTCTACCCTTCACTCTCACTCTACCTTTCACTCCCACTCTACCCTTCACTCCCACTCTACCCTTCACTCCCACTCTGCCCTTCACTCTCACTCTACCCTTCACTCCCACTCTACCCTTCACTCCCACTCTACCCTTCACTCTCACTCTACCTTTCACTCCCACTCTACCCTTCACTCCCACTCTACCCTTCACTCCCACTCTGCCCTTCACTCTCACTCTACCCTTCACTCCCAATCTACCCTTCACTCCCACTCTACCCTTCACTCTCACTCTACCCTTCACTCCCACTCTACCCTTCACTCTCACTCTACCCTTCACTCCCACTCTACCCTTCACTCCCACTCTACCCTTTACTCCACTCTACCCTTCACTCCACTCTACCCTTCACTCCACTCTACCCTTTACTCCACTCTACCCTTCACTCCCACTCTACCCTTCACTCCACTCTACCCTTTACTCCCACTCTACCCTTCACTCCCACTCTACCCTTCACTCCACTCTACCCTTCACTCCCACTCTACCCTTTACTCCAACTCTACCCTTCACTCCAAGTCTTCCCATCACTCCAAGTCTACCCTTCACTCCACTCTACCCTTCACTCCCACTCTACCCTTTACTCCCACTCTACCCTTTACTCCCACTCTACCCTTCACTCTCACTCTACCTTTCACTTCAAGTCTACCCTTCACTCCAAGTCTACCCTTCACTTCAAGTCTACCCTTTACTCCCAATGAGGACCCTATCAGCACATGAAGAACATATTGTAATGCTCTTGCTGACATTAAATGTAACGTTTTTCTTCTCTTCTGTTTCTTGCTCTCACTTTGAGACGATCAAAAATGATTAAGAATAAGTCGTCTTATGTAAATCTTTATTTGACTCTTTCTTAACCGGGAGTTGTCTGTGTATCGCGCATCTAACAAGACTATAGGGCCGTCGTTTCTCCATCCCTTCTAAGGCTCAACTGCCAGTTAATACACCCCACCCGCGAGCGTCTCGGATGCCACCTTGCTCTCGGCACTAATTCTATCGCTTACCTGTGTAAATGTACCCTGGTTTTGTGCTAACATACCTCAAATAACTCAATATAAAAACTTAACGCGATCTCCTTAAATTCTATTAAACTTTTCATCTGAAACCAAAGACAATAGCCTTTACAAGGATACAAATTATAAAAAAGCAGCAATTAGTTGTTCTCAAATAATAATACTTCAAAAATGCTAATAATGTAAAAATATCATCAAATACACCTAATTAAAGTAGATTTCCATAATATTGGCTAGGTCCTAACTAAAAATAAGATATTCTAATTAAAGATCTAGCTTGGTCTAATATTTCTTCCCATTTTCATACTATATCAACAAATATTTATTAAGATATAGAATTTTTCTTCTTGTCCTATTAAGCACAGTTGATTCATACCTAACACATTCACTACAATATCAGAAGAGGTTAAGTACTCTACCAGCACATTAAGAACACATCTCAAGAGACAGAGGATCCTACCAGCACATGAAAAAACTTACTTATAGCTAGTGGGCAGGTCTTGGCATGTGGCGCCATTTCTACAGGGTGAAAGTGTGCATGAGTCTATATCCACCTCACAGCTTTCCCCAGCATAGTCTGCAGTACAGGCACACTTGAACCCTGTGGTTGTGCTGGTGCAGGTTCCACCATTCATGCAGGGGGTTCCAGAACAGTGGTCAATTCTAGTGCTGCAAGTTTTTCCTATGTTAAAAACAAAGTTGTAAAAAACAGTGGTCGATTTTAGTGCTGCAAGTTTTTCCTGTGTTAAAAACAAGGTTGTAAAAAACAGTGGTCAATTCTAGTGCTGCAAGTTTTTTTTTTAAACAAACTTGTAAATTATGTTGCGTATGTCAGAAAATCAAGATTAATTAAAACTTCGGATAAGCTAATATAGGCCTACACCAAGAAAAATGTGGAATTTAAAAAAAAAATTGAAGAGATTTTTAACTGGAGTAGGACAACTAGGGTGGGGGCAGCTGCAGGTGAATGAATTAATCCCATCAAGACAAAAACCATTGTTCTCACATGAATTACTATTACATTCATCTATGTAAACCTCACACTTTTTACCAGGATAAATTATCAATTCAAAAACATTACCTCTATACAAAACTATGAGATAAAAATTGCTATCATTAGAATTTTATGAAGACCTACCAGCAAATCCTTCATTACATAAGCATCTGTATGAGTCCTGATAAATTTCGCATGTCCCTCCATTACTACAAGGCTGGTCAGCGCAAAAGTTTATTTCATTTTCACAGTTTTTGCCTTGTTTTTTAAAATGGAAAAATGTAATATTCTTCAGTATCTTGGGACATGTGTCCACTAACCAGTCTGTCATTTGTTCTTGTTCATTGACCTGTCTTCCCACTGTTGACCACTGGCCTGTCCATCATAAGTTTTGTTCACTGACCTGTCCGTCATATTTTTTGTCCACTGGTCAGTCTTCCCTCAGTTGTCCACTGACTAGTCTGTCATTACTGTTGGTGTCAACTGATCAATATCACCACTGTTGTCCACTGACCAGTCTGTCACCACTGTTGTCCACTGACCAGTCTGTCACCACTGTTGTCCACTGACCAGTCTGTCACCACTGTTGTCCACTGACCAGTCTCTGAACCCAGTTGTCCACTGACCAGTCTGTCACCACTGTTGTGCACTGACCAGTCAGTCACCACTGTTGTCCACTGACCAGTCTGTCACCACTGTTGTCCACTGACCAGTCTGTCACCACTGTTGTCCACTGACCAGTCTGTCACCACTGTTGTCCACTGACCAGTCTGTCACCACTGTTGTCCACTGTCAAGTCTCACCCTTATTGTCCACTGATCAGTCTCACCACTGTTGTCCACTGACCAGTCTCTGAACCCAGTTGTCCACTGACCAGTCTGTCACCACTGTTGTCCACTGACCAGTCTGTCACCACTGTTGTCCACTGACCAGTCTCTGAACCCAGTTGTCCACTGACCAGTCTGTCACCACTGTTGTGCACTGACCAGTCAGTCACCACTGTTGTCCACTGACCATTCTGTCACCACTGTTGTCCACTGACCAGTCTGTCACCACTGTTGTCCACTGACCAGTCTGTCACCACTGTTGTCCACTGACCAGTCTGTCACCACTGTTGTCCACTGTCAAGTCTCACCCTTATTGTCCACTGATCAGTCTCACCACTGTTGTCCACTGACCAGTCTCTGAACCCAGTTGTCCACTGACCAGTCTCACCATTGTTGTCTACTGACCAGTCTGTCACCACTGTTGTCCACTGACCAGTCTCTGACCACTGTTGTCCACTGACCAGTCTGTCACCACTGTTGTCCACTGACCAGTCTGTCACCACTGTTGTCCACTGACCAGTCTCTGAACCCAGTTGGCCACTGACCAGTCTCACCTCTGTTGTCCACTGACCAGTCTCACCACTGTTGTCCACTGACCAATATGTCACCATTGTTGTCCACTGATTAGTCTGTCACCACAGTTGTCCACTGACCAGTGTATCACCACTGTTGTCTTCTGACCAGTCTGTCACCACTGTTGTCCACTGACCAGTCTGTCACCTCTGTAGCCACTGACCAATTAGTCACTAATGATTAAATTATACAACTGTACTACTTTAAAAAATCTGGAAATATTTGTTAATGTTAACTGTTTTTAAGTGATTACAATTTTGTTTAAGATGCAATGGAAATCGGATGGTAAATGTTTGTATGAAAAATAAAATGTATAAAAAATATAATGACATTGTAAAAACTGTAAAATAAATAGCTGTGAATAAATTTAACATATAAGCTTTATTAAGAATGTATTTAAATATCTTGTCAGCAGCATGAGTAAATACATCAGATGGATCAACTAGTGTTTCAAAGTGAGAAATGTACCAGCAAAGCCTCTAGGACAGACACACTTGTAAAGAAATCCTCTTGTGGGCTCGCAAGTACCCCCGTTTTCACATGGATCTGTCATACATAAGTTAAACGGCACATTGTTCTGACGTTGCTGTCTTCCTTTTTTAACTGGCTCATGGTTATAAGTTGACCAGTCATCTGCTTGAAGTTCAGAGGCTGTAGAATAAAAGATACCCTCATACAAAACGTAAAACTTGTGTGAGACCCAATGTCTCTTGTAATCACTTTAATCAGACTTTTGTATGAAGCAATTGTTAGGGGTGCTACAGAGAAAGGCAGTCAGACGACAGAGGCAGATTTTTTAAAGAATTCATAAATGTAAAATGTCTTAACAACAAAGGCCAGGCTACCCTTTTTCTAAATAACTTCATACTAGTACTATATAAATTCAGATGCGGTTTTTTTTTCGAAATCGGAAATAGCAAAAATCACTACTTCCGGTCAGCAGAAATTACTCAAAATTTGTCAGAAGGCAGACAATTAGATGTTTTACATACGTGTGAAATTTCTTTATCTACCTGAAACAGTACTCAAGTTATAGGATTTTGAAAAATTGAAAGTAGAAAAAGTTCCACTTCCGATTATCGGAACACGCTCAAAATTTGATACACATCTACTATTTTGATATTATATTTAAATATGAAACTACATCAACCTAGCTGTAACTGTACTCTAGTTATCGTGTTTACAAACATAGACACACACACACACATACACACTCAGACATACGGACAATATTGCAAAACTATGTTTTTTGCACGTTTACAAGACTTTCTCTTTTCTTGTTACATAGAAGAAAAAAACGTGCTTTTTTTCTGTTCCAAACTTCTATTCTATCACCCGATTCCACCGAAAATGCTAACCTGATTCATTTATGTTACATGATATTTTTTGGGAGCTGACTGTGACTTTTTATCACTTGCTTTTCTATAAAATTTTAATGTGTTGGCCTTTAAAATTTTGAATGTAATTTTTGAATACACACTGACTTTTTTAAAAAGTAAATCTAAAAGTCTATATTATTCATTGCTGGAATAGAATCCAACATTAAATATATTTTCCACAAGGCCAAAATCACCAGAGATGATAGAATTTTAAAATGTCAAAGAATGTAATGTAAAACTGTATTTTGAAATGTGAGTTTGAGTTTCTAAACATATTGTGAAATAAAATTTGAAATGTTTGTATTAAGATATTTTTTGTCTATTAAATTGTTCCTCCTTTATAATTCTTTTTTCCACACAAGTGTTTTAATTTCAAACAAAGTGGTAAATAGATCTTTAACAAACTTTTGTCGTCTCGCTGAATTGGTTTGAACAAATCTACTAAATATGTCCATAGAAATGTTCCCAGTCTAAGACGCTCAGTAGCGTAGGCACGGGGGGGGGGGAAGAGAGATTAGGGGGTTACAACCCCCCCCCCCCCATGGACCACTCTGTAAAAAAATATTTTACTGTCAAAATACCACTTTTACTCATTTAAACCTATTTCTGAATCAGTATATATATATATATATATATATATATATATATATATATATATATATATATGTATAGTTGTATATGTATGTTTAGAAAAGTCATCTAAAAACTGACGCTATGTTCACTATGAGTTGGTTATCCCCCCCCCCCCACCTCACCACAATTGTGTTGAGCGACATAAATGTCACACCTAGGTATACACTGGGTAGGATAATTCGCCTAAAGTGGCTAGACAGTGGTGATAGTGGTGAATGAAGTTGACCCCCCCCCCTCCCCAAACCACCGCAAACTGATCTGTTAAGTACATTTTGGAAAACGCGTAATTAGGTACCAAAGTACCATGCCGACATAATCATAGCTTTTGAAACTCTGTAAATATTGTTTTTGCAATTACCAGTAAAGAAGTGTTTGATCAAAACAGTGATCTAATCCACACCATATCATTATGTTCAAAAATGATCTTTATAGAACATAAAAAACTGTAGCTAATTCTTAAAAGAGTGATCGGAACTACAAGATCAATTGTTTACTTATTTTTCAGCTATTATTTAAAATGTTCCACCTCTGTAAGTAGTTTTTCTTATAAATAGAGAAGTTTGATTTTATACCAACTCTCATTTCAAAAACTTTCATTCTGCTGTAATATTTTAGCATTTATGATAACAATATATTTAATTTTGATTGTAGACAACATATATTTAAAAAAAAAAATAGTGTTAAGCTAGTTTGTTACATACTAAAGTAATTATTGATCTGTTTTAACATTTACAATTACATTTGTAAAATTATACATAGTTGTATTAATAGAGTGATTATTAAGAGAGTGATTATTTTCCCTAGTGCAGCATTCTGTATCCTTCTCAGCTGGGTAGCTTGCACCTGCGCCACCATGCAAGAAAGTTGTCTTTTTCCGTGTGAAATCCATATGTAGACCTTAATAGAAACTCCACATTGTTTGGTGACTAAATTGGAGGAGAGACTGAAGACTTTAATGCCATCCTTCACAAATGTTACTTGTTCGTGCTACACCATCGCCAATCGTGTGTATTTTATTCCAATTTTAAAAATTAATCCTTACCATATATGGACAAAGCGCTTGTAATCAAACGCAACACAAACACAACACAAACACAACACAAACACAACACAACACAAACACAACACAAACACAACACAAACACAACACAAACACAGCACAAACACAACACAAACACAACACAAACACAACACAAACACAACACAAACACAACACAAACACAACACAACACAACACAACACAACACAACACAACACAACACAAACACAACACAACACAACACAACACAAACACAACACAACACAACACAAATACAACACAAACACAACACAAACACAACACAAACACAACACAAACACAACACATACACAAACACAACACAAACACAACACAAACACAACACAAACACAACACAAACACAACACAAACACAACACAAACACAAAACAAACACAACGCAAACACAACGCAACACCAACACAACACAAACACAAACACAAAACAAACACAAACATAAACACAAACACAAACACAACACAACACAATACAACACAACATAATACAATACAATACAATACAACACAAACACAACACAAACACAACATAAAAACAACACAACCACAACACAAACACAACATAAACACAAACACAACATAAACACAACACAAACACAAGACATACACAACACAAACACAACACAAACACAACGCAAACACAACACAAAACAAACACAACACAAACACAAACACAAACACAAACACAAACACAAACATAAACATAAACACAACACAAACACAGCACAAACACAAACACAAACATAAACATAAACACAAACACAACACAAACACAACACAAACACAGCACAAACACAACACAAACACAACAAAAACACAAACACAACACAAACACAACACAAACACAAACACAACACAACACAAACACAACACAATTGCAACACAAACACAACACAAACATAACCCCACGATCCATCCACTATGACTCATCACCAATTATAGACGCAAGAGTTGGGTTTGCTGTGTGCGAATAAATATTGGTTTTAAAATAAATAATAATTGCATGAATGATGACGCAAATAAAGAAATGGACGTTTTTGGGTTTTGGATAGAAACTTGTTGCTGTGGATTTTCGGGTATGAGTTAGGGCTTGTCTTGATCTTCTTGGTGTATAGAAGTTCGACTTGTGTGGCTAGTTTGGGAGACTTAGATCGTCCAAGGATCTGACATTAACAGAAAAATTTTGAATGTGCACTAACAAAAAGTGTAATAATATAAGTGAATATACTCTAAATTAAATACAAGCATCTTGTCAAGTGATTTATACGTGTTGGTGTACCCTCACAAGCTTAACAGACACCATTCTCCATTTACCGCACCCCACCTCAACAGACACATATTCCACACAACACAGTCTGAGTAGACCAAACCCCACACCACCAAACTTAATACAAGTAGATGTTGTAAAAAGAGGCCCCTGGTCTATATATATTTACCTAGTGTACAGACAACTTGCAGGACAACAGCCAACAAGATACATACACGTACCTTCATTGTGTTAATCCACAACGTAATGATTCGAATATAACCTGATAAAATAATGAGTTTTTTTTTTGTTAAGTTGGACTTGAATAATCTTTAAAAACATCATTCAGAGATGTATACTAATAAAATATGTGTACATTTTATAATTTTATATTACAATTTAAAATTGAAATAACAAATAACGATTTTGTATGAATTCTAATCGAGAACTAGCAGTACACAATATATATATATATATATATATATATATATATATATATATATATATATATATATATATATATATATATATATATATATATATATATATATATATATATAAAGCTCATGGTTGCTAAATCGAAACTCCAAAATCAAACAACTGTTTTTTCTTGGTTTTACAAAGGCTAAAGAAGCAAATCCGAAAAGAAAAGCCGGCTGAAATCGGAGTCAACGGCCTATATGGCACTTAACAAGTTGACACGTAATACTTAACTGTGTTGGAGGGAATCCCTCCCAACATAAAAATTAAAAACAAAAAAAAGAATATGGAATGTCTCTACCTGTTGGGTGATGTAGTGCAAGAACAATAACTGATGAGGCGGTTTTGCCGAGGAGGTCAAGCTCTGCGTTTCCTAGAAGTCGACTGGGCATGTATCAATAGGATTTTGCAACAAATATCTCTCGCTCACAGCCGCTCATTAAAAAAAAGGAACAGGATTTAACAATTGCCGCAGTTATTTTTTTTTTCACATCCCGGTCATATCAACCATTGGATGAATTAACGACTGTTCCACAGTTAGACGTGGCGGTTTACTCATATGCTAAATACGAACGCGTGTTTAGATGAAATTACACGTATATCGTCCAATGTCTGAAGTGTCCCAAAAATAACTCAGCTCTACGTGGTAAAGTGGGTGGGGTGAGGCGAGTGACTGAAATAACTATTACACTTAATGTATTGTGTTAAACAAAAGTACGGGACAATAGCTCGTTAGAAGACAGAAATGATGGAGTTTGCAATGGTCTTGTCGGCAATTGTTTAGCCGATAAACAAAAAAGGCAAAGGTTAACGAGCTCAATAAAGATCACCGGACTTTTCTTTTTTGGTCAATTTAAGGGTAGGCCTAACATATAACTTACCAAATATGTGATCAAGAAACGACGTTACGCTGATGTTTTTACCATTTTTTAACCCACGTTTGCTATAACCACACTATTGTCACACACAAAAAACAGGCAACCCCCACCCCTCAACAAAATGACGTCAAACTTCAGCCACTCCTCTGTTATCTTAAAATTTCAGCAGCCGTTAATACATAAAAATCCCAGCAAATCCAGATCAAGATCCCTGTTTAATAATACGAAATGGTCTCAGATTTAGTTTGAGAAATTTCCTTTTGTTATCTCAAACTCTGATTTTACAACTGAATTACTCTTTTCCGTTTCCCTGGCCAGATATCATCTCGGAAGTCTGATGCCCCCCCCCCCCCTCACCCTTCCCCCAGCGTAATTTAAAAAACGAATCCTACAATGAACGATAGGTTAACTTTTTTAACAAAGATTAAGCATCCAAAAAACCTATATGATACACATGATATATATATATATATATATATATATATATATATATATATATATATATATATATATATATATATATATATATATATATATATATATATATATATATATATATATATATATCAGTCGACATCACTACTCTTGTTTACCATGTAGGTTAATTGCTCTAAGACAGATAGTATCTCCATGACTTGTGAGTACCTCCAAACGTGGTAGACAATTATTGAAAATGGCGTTTACTTAAATATTCTAATTAGATCAACACGCAAAACTAGGCCAGTTTCTACGTCCAAGCCCAGAAAGCGAAAATTGACCATGAGTGACCACATCCATGTGTAAGACTGTATGGTAAAAACAGAAATGTAGCAGTTCATTTTATAAACACGAGCTGACCCGCGATTAGCATACGCCGCTATTTAGTTTAATTCCAATTTTTACAAGCTTTTATTTAACTCACTTCCTCGTATGTCGTCATTCTGTTTATCTAGATCGAAACGGCCGAGCCCATCGTGATTGCAGGCACTTATAACTGACGGTTCGTAATTGGTACGTGGGTCAAGACATGAAGACAATGCATCATGGCATTCAATTTGACTTAATTGGTAACCTGATTAATTTTTTTATGAATCAAATAAAAATTTGAATAAATTAGTAGGGGGTCATTCATAAATGACGTCAAACTCGTAGGGGGGAGGGGGGTGGTCAGTAATTTTGTGACGGAGTGTGATTAGGGGGAGTTCAGATGGTGCGACATCACACTTTTGCATTATAAAAAGGCAATGTTAGAAAACGAATTTTAGGCGTTATTTCGCGTCTTAGAAAACTGTTTTAATAAATTGTAATAGGAATTGATTAAAATACTCTACTTTGACAGAGTTCAGACACTATTGATGTTTAAAAATTCAACTGCAATTTTCGATGGAGGTTGGAGGCTGAGGTGTGACGTCATTTTAGGGGGGGGGGGGGGGTCTGGCTTTTTGCGACGACGTGTGACGGAGGGAAGGGGCAGGTAAAAAACGTCACAAAAAGCGTGACGTCATTTATGTATGACCCCTAGGCAGTCCTAACCAACTGCTCATCACGCGTCATCACGTTCAATAGCGCGCCATCACGTTCAATAGCTGCGAAATGGTTTTTAGTCATGAAACTATTGTAAATAAAAAGATGTAAAGTACTAAAAATAATTTCATAAAAAACGTTTTAATAACAAGCTTTTATGTAATAATACACTAAAAAGGAGAAAATACTATTTAAATAACTATAAAGAAAAGCGTGGGTCTCTTCCTAAATATTAGTTAAGGCATCCAATAGATACTAAAGTGAACCACGCTTTTCTTAATATTTATTTAAATAGTAGTCTATAATTTATTTTCTCCTTTTTAGTGCATTACCAGACTACCCGTTATCTAGTTAGATAACTGTGTGTTTCGAGGGTAATCCAAAAAATGACATCACTTTTGTCACTTATCTTCACAAAATAACCAGACCCCACATTCAAGAAGAGGTGAATTGAAAAAAAAAATTAACATTGACATGATATATCTAGAACCTGTGCCACCCGCATGGAAGCCAATTACACTATCACCTTAGCTATCTAGGGTCGTGACGTCATAACACTAAAACATACATTAAAAAATTCAATATTCTAAATTAAAAAAAAAAACTAAGAGATTTGAAAATGTATATGTGATTCTGACATCGGATAAATGTTTTAGCAATGATTTTAAACTAAATGGTAGATAGTGTGTAGCTTGACGATTTAACGAGTTAGTGTATTCTTTAACTCTATATCTTTTGCGAATTAAACCAGATCTAGGCGATATATTGTGTTGATGTCTCCAACACTCACCTGGAATAGCGGAGGGGGGGGGAGGGGTAACGAGGCTGTTATTTCAGATGTAACAACCAGGATGTATATTAATGATCATTGCACGAATGCACACACTTAAGCACATAACTTAAAGTATTCAGAAGTTTTTTTTTTTTTTTTTTTTTTTTTTTTTTTTTTTTTTAAATTTTGAATACAGACTTTTTGTTTTGGCAAGACCAAAATGGCACGTAAGCGTATTTCTGATTTGGTATAGTGGAAGAGCAAAAGCTTGTAGTTTGTTACGGGGTTGTGGTTTGTTACAAAAAGTAATGTTAAAACGAACTTTTTTTTCGCATTTTCGATACCTGTTTAAAAATATTGTAATAGAAATAATGAAAATACTTTATCTTGACAAACTTCAGTCAAGAGTTTAGAAAAAAGTCGATGTTTTAAGAAATATTCAACTGCCATTTGTAATTGTAACATTTGAAGTATATAATTATATATAACAATTTGAAATTATAGCATTTCACAGAAAAATATACCACTGATAAATTTCACACTTTCTATCCCTTCCGTCCCTTCGTCACACACCATTACCTAGCTAGAACACTTCAGAGTCTGACGTCATATACCAACATCTACTTAACCAGCTCGAATCCGAGTCTAAATGAGTATGGGTATATAACTCATTTAATGGAAAGTAAAGGCTGCTCGGCAAAGTGCTGACCACAAATTCCCGTCATCAAAAACATGAACTTTACTTTATTTGTCCAATGGGTTGCTAGATCGGTAGTGAATGGGTATAGAGGAATAAATGGGCGTGAATGTTGTTTATACTTTGCACCCTGTCCAGTTTCTCTCTGTTCAATCCTCGTTCTGTGAGTTGGGACAACAGGTTTGTTCCTGCTTTCTGTAAGGGCAGCTGTGGGAGAACGTGTGTGATTGCCACAGTTTAATCCAGTTTTCTCACAAGGATAGAGGTTATTTATGTACTGTTACATAGCCACTGTTTGTGTACTAGCGTATGTGTTTATATTTACAATATCCCGCGTTTTGTGGATTGTGTATATAGTATTAAACTATATTTGCATTAATGAGCCTTTTGTTTCATTAAGTCGTGGTTTTAACCGTTTTCTGTTGCTTGTCTTATATGTTGCGCTACACAGTGGATCACCCGTAAAGGTGTGTCCGTGAGTTCACAGAAGTCTGAAGAGGATTATTTTGCTTCATCTTATTTTGCTTTATATTTAAATGCGTTTTTACAAACGTAAAATATTCAAAATAATAACTGTTTCGCTATATTAATTTTACTAATTGTTTGTATTTTCTTATATAATTTCACAATATAGTTGTACGATACGCTATACTTTGACTAGAATTATTTCGGCTTGTCTTTATGGAATCTGCTTCAGTTAAAAACTAAAAAAGTTAAGCCGTGCATAAGTTGATGTACCATTTCAAACCTCAGCGTGGTCAACACAAGAACCTGGAATTTGAACTCCGGAACTCGGCTCTGCCTTCCCGTGGGCAGAATTTAGTGCTATTATAAAGAAGCACATCTCACAGTGTTGGTACCAGTCATAGAAACAGGCCAATATTGATTACAATACATTTTTAAAAATGTGTATTATTTTTATCGTTAATAAATTATACATGTTTAAAAATATAAGTATTATTTATTTAATGTGTTAAAATTTTAGAAAATATAAACAAGCTATTTACTGTCAAACTTAACATTGCTAAATAATAATCTCTAAAAATATAGAGGGAATTTTAAATTTTGTTAAAATTTTTAAAATATATACCAGGTATTCATTGTCAAACTTAACATTCCAAAATAATAATCAATAAAGAAAATTGTGATTAACAAATTAATGTTATTAGTTTACAAAAATTAAAATACTGTTTGTTGAATGAGATGAGAGTAGGTAGTTGCCTCATATTTTAACATTTAAATTACATGATTGTATTTGTTTTTTTTTAATCACAAGGGCTAGGTTGTAATATAAAAAACCACCCTGTTAGTCCAGAATTTCTGTATACAGGCCTTCTTCGTTGTCGTTGTCTTGAACAGCGTTTTGTTCTGGAAGAGAAAGATGTTTACCATTCTTATACAATAAAACGAGATAAAAATACATATCCGTATTCAGACATGATATAATACCGGTAGTATGACCATACACTTGTAATCAGAGTTGGTTTCAGGTAGCCCCCGTCCCACCCCACCCAAACTCTCCCCCCCCCCTCCCGACGCCTTCATGGCCGCCGCCACCCAAGACGAAATAGAAACAATATATACTTTATGTGGAAAATAAATACATTACCCAGTGTCCTCCACCCTTGAAATTTTAGAACGCTTTCCTCGGCGAGAAAGTTTCAAAGAAAAACAGGCTATGATCTAAAGACATTTTTAGAAACAAACATCCATACCTCATTGGTTTTTACCAAAAGTTTAAGTCTCACCATGCATGCCCTGATATCCATGTCCCATTGACCATGGCCCAATAACCATGATCCATTTATAATAACTCAACATCAAGACTCACGTATATCACTGACCATATGTTACTGACTATGTGTTACTGACCTTAAGTCACTGGTAACATGCTACTGACCCTTTTCTAGAGACCTAGTAATCATCACTCAATATATATGTTTTTAAGACCATTCATTTCTTAACAAAAAATATATTTACGATATCTATTAAGTGCTTCTTTTACAATCACCTTGATTGATTACAACATTTGCATACGCATGGGCACTCTTAGTGAACTTCACCAGATTGAAACCCCCGTCCTCTGTCCGTGTCACGTTGTCATAAGCAGCGTTTGCACCTGGAAGAGAAATTTACAATTATATTTGCCATGCAACAAGGATTAATTTCTCTAATGCAACGCTAGAATTTAATTTACTTTAGCATTACTACGTAACCTACCTTAATGTCCTTAGTTAAATACTTATTGCACTTTATTTGTTATCTAACGACCAAGTCTTAGACTCAGTATTTATGTGTCAATGGTTATGAGCAAGAGATCGTGACTGAACATACATGTCCGAATATTCTTGCCACAAATGACTTTGTCTCAATGGCCAAGACACACTGACCATTATCTATTGACCATGGCCCAGCGACCGTGACCAATTTATAGTGACTAAATATCCATAACTCACTGATCCAGTTATGATAACTTAATAGAAGTGGTTTAATGACCATGATCAAAGTCCATAACTGAAAACCAAATCTAAATCTTAATTAATTCATTAGTGTTTCTTTTCTAAGATACATTTTATATAATTTTTTAAGGATCTTTTGTCGTGTTCTATATCTATATATATAATTCTCTTCTGTGAGCCGCAAGAAAACAAGCTGTAAACGCGATCCCTACCTCCCCACCCCTACATGATCTTAGTGAGCTGTGTTCACTCTAAATGTTTACAAGCAGAGCCAACGATTTTAAACGTAGGGGGGGGGGGGTGGAAGGGGGGGGGGTTATGGTCCTTAACGAGCTACTTATGGTATTTTTTTAAAGAAATATTTTCAGTGGCAGCGTTGGTACTGTTGAATTCACAAATTATGAATTACTGAAAAGTAGAAAATAAAACAACTAAATAGCGGCGTATGTTATGCCGCGGGCCGGCTCGTTCTATATAAGCCTTAAACTAAAATACATTTTTAAAAAGGCGAAAATTTTACGTGTTTGGTTCACGATGCCATGGGTGTTTCCAGATTCAATTAGATTCCTAGTGGGTGATCGTGTTTTGGAACGCAACTTAACCACAACCACAACCACAAATACCGACACGAAAAAAGCTACCACAACAGTCACAATCAAAATGACAATCCATTCATCAAGTGAATTTATCTCTTCTGAAACACAAACACATCACTGAATTAATATGAATTTCATGTATAAATGCAAATTTTTTCTATTAAACGGAATATTTATTTTCATTAAGCTTTCCTAAGCTGTTACTTTATAATACTAAGGTGAAAACATAATTTATGTAAACCGTTGAATCTAGCACTGTAAAGCAAATCTGGAGGCGACCATGCAGTTTTCCACGACGTCGGTCTTTTGGATTGATCCATCCGATGTAAATAATTATAAGAACCAAGAAGAAGAAGAAACAGTACTACAATTAAAGCTTAAGTTCTATAGACAGTCCAAGTAGCATCTCTTCAATTCTATCGCCCCCCCACGAAATGGAATTTATATAGAAAACATATAATTTTGCCAGTGTCCGCCCGACCTCAACCACCCAAAAACGTTGCCGCCCCCTCCCCCTCCCTTCCCCCCCCCCCCCCCGAAAATATCAAGTGCCCCACGAAGGAAAAGTCTGGAAGAAACACTGAGTTCAATGTAGTACAGTATAGTTAAGTACAGTAAATTGTAGAAGAAATATGTGCTTTTTGACCTAAGTATAATACGTCATAATAACATGTAAAAAACTAAATTCATAAATTATGTAGAAAAGACATCATTTATAAAAGATCAAAAAGACAACCACTGTTATGTTAACAGTCTTAAACACAATGACCTCTAGTTCAAGCACGTCAAGTTTCTCACCCGATGAATTGCCGAAATCGTTGTTAAGCTTTGACTCATTTCTCTCTGTTGTAATGCTAGGTGTTGCCGTAGCTGTCGGATATGTTGTTAGGTTAGTTTCAGGAGCTGCATTTGTCGCTGCAAATCAATACAAAGTAAAAACGTTTAATCGGCAATGCTATTACTCTTTTTTACTTTTTTGTTACAAAGCATAGAGGAACTATTGTAATTGTGTGTGCATGTATTCAATTATTGGTTTATGGTAATTAACATTGACAAATTAAAAACAAAATGTGTATGCTGTTTAAAATGTATTGAGTGAATTAATGAAATAAATTTAAAAGACATGTATAAATGCATACCATGAATTTCCATACAAATGAAAGAGAAAGATTGCGCACAATCGTCATCATTTAGTGTTCCATCATTAAAAATTTCAAGGCAATCTTCATTTCCATTCGTGTTGTTGGGTTCAGTATAACCCCACATTGATGTTAGATTAGCCTTTGTACCATCTGTCCACACCCATTCACCTTCTTGTAATTGGTCATTACCTCCAAGCCACACTTATGGAAGAAATAATGCAGATATCACAAACCTTTGATAATTTAAAAACTTGTTGCTACCTTTCTATTTAAATAAGTCATCATAAACTAAACTGGTTCGTTGAACATTTGCATGCTTTGACAGTTAAGACACTACTTCCTAATTTAATTAACATGTTTGATAATTAGTTGCGTTAACAAATAGCAAGAAACAAGGGATTAACTTTGAGAACAGACATATGCAGGAACTATAGAATACTTGAATGTTACGCATAGATTGAATATACTGAGTACAAATAAAGAGCCAAGCTTACAAGTTACATCCTTTAGCGATATTGTTTGGGAGCCAATGTGTCGTTGGTTTCCTAATTCCTGGAGCGAATAGGTTGTAACACTTTTGTCGTGTTATGTTAGTCGTGTTACTTTTGTTCTTAGCTGTCTTTGTTTGTTAAATACATTTTTAAAAATATGTGCATACCTCTTGTATAAAATGGTCTGAAAGAATTGAAGTATCTCAACACAGAGGGTGAGGAGACTTTGGCCAGCATCCTCTTTCCATTGAAATTTGAGCAGTATTTCTTCAAATACAAATTACAGGTTCAATTTTTAAGTAATATATTTCTGCTCTAATATTTTTTATAAGAAAGATTTAACAAAGGATATCTGAAGTATTTAAAATTGACTATGTAATTAACATACCATAGCGTGTTAACTGTAGCTACACTATAATATATGATAAAATTACTTTCGCTTCAGTCCAATTCTTTGGTGTTGTGAATAGCTCATAACAGTTGTTGTCAAACGCCGTAGCTGTTTTGCTGATACACTCTGTTGAAGATTTAGAACAAAATACAATTTTTAAAAAAAAACAGTGTTGGAAATTTAGAAAAAAAATTATTAATTTTTTTTTGTTTTTTGAGTAGCTGCTATATTAACGAAGCTAATTTTAAAAGTTAAATCTCGTTTTTTTTGTCTTTACATTAGCAATTTTATACAATTCCATGCTTTTTACCCAAAGTGTCTTTGGAAACGTTCCCAGTATTTGAAACATTTCCCTCTGTAGTAAAACTAAGTGTTGCCGTGGTTGTTCTGGATGTTGGATACATAGTTGTGTCAGTTTCAATATTTGTGGTTGTCTCTGCAAATCAGATGTAAGTTACAACGTTTTAAAAGCAATTCTTTGCTTGTTTTTTGGAATACATCAAAGAGAGAACATACACTGGGTTTAAATTTGAACGCTGTACATAAGGAATCGGTTGGTGTTTTTTGTGTAAACTTGTGTTTTAGCCGTGACGTTTAAACCGTGTTGTTTTACTCTTATAACTAAACATAACTTAAGCTAAAAACTTAACATTGCAATGTTACGTCACGTTTATAACAGACTAACACTCACTATATTATTAAATACAAATTTCTAAAGTCAAAGACGTAATCCTCTTCATCCCATCACAAAGAATGAAATATATTTTTAATGTTTTAGAATACTTAATGACAGATTTTACCCGGGTTTGTTTGAATGAAAACAAACAAGATATTTGAATGCTAGGATTTAAATTAAACATGTGCAAAACAAAGCCTAACATTCCTTATTTTATACAAAAGTGTATAAGGTAAAAATACATTTTTCTTAGGATTTAAATTCTATAACCAGTTGTAACGCAGGTTGTTGTTTAATAAACTGCAGATTCAATTATTACTTGTTTGGCTATTAACAAGTACAAAAATGAAAATAAAACGTGTATACTATTTAAATTTCGAAGATTTAAAAAAAAAAAAAAATGAAATTTTAAAGAAATTTATAAATACTTACCATGAACTTCCATACAAATAAAAGATAAAGGTTGTGCACAATCGTTATCATTTAAGGTCCCGTCTCTAAACATTTCAAGGCAGTGTTCATTTCCAAATTCGTTGTTGGGTTTGCCTTTATTCCACATTGTTGTTAGATTAGCCTTTGTGCCATCTGTCCACAGCCATTCACCTTCTTTTAATATGTCACTAGCTCCAAGCCACACTTATGGAAGAAAACAATCTACATTTCGCACACGTTGATATGTTTAAAAACGATTTGCAACAAAGTCCGTTTCTGTTTAAACTACGGCATGATAAAATTGTTCGTCATATCAAATATGTGCATGACATAGCAATTATGACACTATTTACAAATATTATAATAATTTCTTACATGCATTTAACACTATAACAAGAAACTTTCGAAATACATGACGATCAGACAAAAGCTATATACAGCAATTTCAGATTACATTGAGGTTACGCATATATTCAATATAATGAGTAGCCCTACGACCTACAGGTCAAGCTTGCGTGTTATATTTGTTTAAACTTGGATTCTTAACTGTCTTGAGCAACTGAGTCGTTACATTTTTCCCACTTTCTTTAACTTGCTTTCTCTTTTTGTCTTTCCAATCAAATCTTGCGATCGAAATTTCTGGCACTTCCCAGTTAGCTAGCGCGCTGAAATTTTCAGGGAAGCTTTCTTTTGGATGACCATAGAATATTCAATTGTTATTATTATTAAATTGATCAATGGAAACATTTTATTGAGCATTTTAGACCGCTATATAATCTATATATATAATTCTCCTCTGCGAGTCATTAGAAGAAAAAAAAACGAGCGACGCGTAGCTCGCCTCTCTCTTGCCGCGCGCAGTGAAACGAACGATCCCACGTCGCGACAGGCTTAGGGGCAGATAATTTAGTTTGAACCGACTTTAAACTTACAGGAGGTAACTATTACCACTGGTGGCCAGTTTGGGGGAGACGATATGGTCGAGTGGTTGGGCACACGATTGCTATCCCACTCGACACGGGTTCAAATCTATGTGTTCTAGTCAGTAACCAGCCCTCGTCCTAACCGCTTTCAACTAACCTCTGACAATCATTCACTTGCGATTGAGACCGAAGAAGAAAGGGTCTCTCGTTTTTTACGAGTTGTCTTTTTACGAGTTGTCTTCGTTTACCCAAAAAAAAGTGAAAAGATAAAATCGATAGCAAGATTTCAATGCAAACAAACAGACAAAGACTAAAAAGTAGAAAATAATAATCATTAAAAAAGTTTAAAAAAAACCCACGTTTTCTGATTGAACTAAAAAGTAGAAAATAAATACTATACATCACAATAATGCAAGCGATCACTCTACTATAAGCGATCAAAAACGTGGGGCGCCGTGATTTTCTTACAGTTTCTAATACTGTTGACTCTCTACAAGCTCCCTAATAAAAGTCAATAGTATTATCTAATCAATAGTAATATAACTTTTACTTCGGCGCCCCACGTTTTTCATCGCTTATAGTAGAGTGATCGCTTGCATTATTGTGATGTATAGTATTTATTTTCTACTTTTTAGTTCAATCAGAAAACGTGGGTTTTTTTAAACTTTTTTAATGATTATTATTGTCGGGTTCTGTTAGTCAAGTTATTTATTTGTGTTTGCTGTCTATGATCGTTTCGTACTTTATGTTCTTTATTGCATACCTCGTTCATAACTTGGTATGATTGAAATGAAGTATCTTATAACAGAAGGCGATGAAACTTTGGCCAGGATCCTCGTTCCATTGAAATTAGAGCAGTATCTCTTCAAATACAAATAATTAAAGATCCAATATCTTAATAAATAATATTTTATGCTCTAATAATTATTGTAAGAAAGGTAACTAAGTAAATCTGAAGTATGCAAACAGTGATTATGGAATTAATATTTCATTGCGTCTTGACTGAAGTTACACATATAATAAATATTGAAATTACATTTGCTTCAGTCCAACTAATTTGGTTTGTGAAAAGCTCATAGCAGTTTTCGTCATACATCGTAGCCTTTTTGCTGATACATTCTGTTGAAGATTTAGAATAAAATGCAATAAAAAAGATTTCTATTGTTATGTGAGAAGTCTTTATATTAAATACAAACAAATTATTTTTAGTTTAATTTCGATTTTATTCAGTTTATTTTTAGATGGCCAAATTAATGTAGGCCTACATTTTTTTTCAATTACATACTCCTTACCAAACGAGTCGCTGGAAACATTCTTAAGCTTTGACTCATTTCTCGCTGTAGTAAAGCTAAGTGTTGCCGTCGATGTCGGATATGTTGTTGGAGAAGTTTTGGGTGTGGCAGTTGTGTCTGCGAATCAAGACAAAGTAAAATCGTTTAACCGGCATTGCTTTTATTCATTTTTTGATTACATCAAAGAGAGGAATTGTGGTTTAGTTAGAATTTGTAAGCGGAAAATTTAAAAGTTAGTTGAAAACTATTATTAAAATGAAACAGCTAAAAACTAAGCGTTACGTTTGTACTTTTTTTTAAAATTAAAAATCGTTTTTTTTTTAAAATCTAATAAAGATTAAAATGTTTAGTAAACCTTACACTATAGTCAATATTCATTTTATTAACGACCATTTCTGGAGAAATAGAGGGGTTACAATGTTATGTCACGTTTGCAATAGACTACCATTCCTTAGTATATTAAATACAAATTTCGCAAGCCAGCAAAGTAATTCCCTTCATTTCATCACACATCGAAATTTATTTTTAATATTTTGAAATACTTAATGACACCGAAGTGTGTTCTACCATAATTTTTCAGTGAGTGATTAATGTACACTCAATGTTTGCATGCGGTAGTGTAGGTAAACCCGTGTCCCGATATTTATGATCCAAGCGCAGGCATTGTTTACATTTAAATAACTCACTTTTAGAAAAGACGGTCACGCGTCTAAGAACATATGATTGGTAACGCGTTGGTGAATTCCTTCTAATACATTTCGTCAAACTTTCTTCTTGTCTCGTGTGTGTATTAGCGGTGACGGCACTGCTTTGTTACGACCATATAATTAAACAAAACTAAATCTAACTAGGCCTACTTCATCATATTTTGTTATTATAATTTCAGATTTTTGAAAAACTCTCAAAACTTTATAATTTTAAATCAATCTCTCTTAAAGCTCATTCCAATACAATTTCGTCATCAATTGCTAACTCAAAACACGTGCATTGTTTTGTTCCAAACTTCTATTCTTTTACCCGATTCCACTGAAAATGCTAACCTGACCCATTTTTGTTATATGATATTTTTGGGAGCTCCCTATGACTTTTTATCACTTGCATTTCTATAAAAATTTTAATGTGTTGGCCTTGACAATTTTGAATGTAATTTTTTTACAAACCGACGTTTTAAAATAAATCTAAAAGTTTGTATCATTCATTACTGGAATAGAATCCAACATTAAATATATTTTCCATAAGGCCAAAAGATAGATAGATGATAGACATTTACAATGTCAAAGAATTTATTGTAAAACTGTATTTTGAAATGTAAGTTTATTTGAGTTTCTACATCTATTGCGAAATAGACTACCATTCCTTAGTATATCAAATACAAGTTTCTCTGTCTTTAACAAACTTTTTGTAATCTCGCTGAATTGGTTTAAGCAAATTTACTGAATGTGTCCATAGAAATGTTAAAAGTCTTAGACACAATGATCTCTAGTTCAAGCACGTCATGCTTCTCACCCAATGAATTTTCGACATCGTTGTTAAGCTTTGACTCATTTCTCTCTGTTGTAATGCTATGTGTTGCCTTGGTTGGCGGATATGTTGTTAGATAAGTTTCAGGAGCTGCATTTGTCGCTGCAAATCAATACAAAGTAAAAACATTTAACCGGCAATGCATTTACTCCTATTTACTTTTTCGTTACAAAGTATAGAGGAACTATTGTAAATGTGTGTGCATGTAAAGAATTATTTGTTTGGCGATTAACATTGACTAATTAAAATTAAATGTGTATGCTGTTTAAAATGTATTGATTGAATTAATGACAGGAAACTTAATACTCCTTACCTAACGAGTCGCTTGAAACATTCTTAAGTTTTGACTCATTTCTCGCTGTAGTAAAGCTAAGTGTTGCCGTCGATGACGAATATGTTGTTGGAGAAGTTGTAGGTGTCGCAGTTGTCTCTGCGAATCAAGACAAGGTAAAATCGTTTAACCGGCATTGCTTTTATTCCTTTTTTGAATACATCAAAGAAATGAAATATGGTTTAGTTAGAATTTGTAAGCGAAAAATTTAAAAGTTAGTTGCAATCTATTATTAAAATGAAACAGTTGAAAACTAAGTGTTACGTTTGTCCTTTTTTTGTTGTTAAAAACGTTTTTTTTTAAATCTAATAAACATTAAATTGCTTAGACTACACTATAGTCAATATTCATGTTTACAACGATCATTTCTGAAGAAATAGAGTTTGATGATACTACTCAAACCTATGTGCGTGGCTAAATTTATCTGACCAATCTATTAAATGAAGTTTTTGTTTACACAAGAATACATGTTTGAATAAAATAATAATCGCTCGGATTTAATTATCCTTGGAAGGTGATGGTGATTTATGTGTTGTCTGTCCTCTACCTTGAAAAAATGTATTATGACACATCCTAAGATATTCTCTTGTTGTAATAATGAAATTTCCAATTTCAAAATAAAGCTTGTATACTATTACAAATTCGATAAATACTTACCATGAAGTTCCATACAAATAAAAGAGAAAGATTTAGCACAATCGTCATCATTGAGCATTCCGAAGTCATAAAGTTCAAGGCAGTCTTCATTTCCCTCCTGATCGTTGGGTTCGTCTACATGCCACAATGATGTTAGATTAGCTTTGGTACCATCTGTCCACATCCATTCACCTTCTTGTAATTGATCATTACCACCAAGCCACACTTTTGAATGAAAAGATTATATATACATACATATATATATATATATATATATATATATATATATATATATATATATATATATATATGTATATATAGGATATATATATATATACACACACACATATATATATATATATATATATATATATATATATATTATACATGTTAGTTGTCGTTTGTATTCTATTTTCGTTTTTTCTTGTGCGTTTCTTCTGCGATATTTTGTGTACGTTGTTGTCTGGATACTCTAGTTGATCATGATCGCTCTCCTTACTGGACATAGTCTATTTTAACTTTTACTTACCTCGTATATTACTTGGTCTGAGAGAAAATAGAAATTTCAACACAGAGAGTGAAAACACTTTGGCTAGGCTCCTTTTGCCAATAAAATTTGAACAGTATTTCTTGAAATAAAAAATAAAGATAAATATTAAAGTAACAATGTTATATTTATATTTTAACAATTATTAATTTTTTAGAGAAAATTTCGTAAGTGTAAAAAAAAAAAAAAAAAAAAAAAAAAAAAAAAGTGAAGACCTTAGTGCTAAAAGTACTTAAGTCACAAAAACAACATTTTGAGAAAAATGAGTTCAAAGATTAAAATTTACTATGAAACATTACGTTTTTATATTATTTGTTTGTTTGGAGGAGCAACTTAAATAAATTCTTCAGTATCACTATTTGTTTATAAGATAAAGTTAAACTAGAGGAATAACGATCAATGCTTGGTTTGATTTTCACAAAAATGTGACTTAAGTACTTTTAGCACTGGGCTCTTCAAGTTCTTAAACACTGAAATTACCTTAGCTTCAGTCCAATTCTTTGGAGTTGTGAATAGTTCATAACAGTTGCTGTCAAACGCCTTAGCCGTTTTGCTGATACACTCTGTTAGAGATTTAGAATGAAATACATTTAAAAAGTACATGCTGCTGGAAATTTTGAATTAAATACAATAAAAAAACCACAGTATTTGAAACATTTCTCTCTGTAGTAAAACTAAGTGTTGCCGTGGTTGTTCTGGATGTTGGATACTTAGTTGTGTCAGTTTCAATATTTGTGTTTGTCTCTGCAAATCAGATGTAAGTTACAACGTTTGAAAAGCAATGCTTTGCTTGTTTTTGGATAACATTAAAGAGAGAAAATACACAGGGTTTAAATTTGAACGCTATACATAAGGGCCTTTCGGTGTTTATGTGTGTAATTATGTTTTAGCCATGATGTTTAATCCTTGTAGCCTTCTTCTGATCCTCTTGCTAAACATAACTTAACCCTTTATTTACGGAATTAGGTTATGAATGAAATTTTTTAAATTCTTAAACAATGTGTTATCATATTGCTTTTGGCACATTTAATGCATATGTCGAAGAAAATTTCGTTTAAATAATTTTTAATGGCCCAAACAGATACTGGTACTTATAAGTACCGTCAGGAATGTAGGACATTTTTTCGAAAAAATTTTTTTTACAAAACAGGAATAAAGGATACAATTTATTAACTAATAACATGGCTATCATTATAACAATCATTTTTTTTGCAATTTTCACACATAAATACAGCACAAAAGTATATTTAGAGTACGATTTTTACTGGATTTTGTATCAGATCACATCTTAGACTACAAACACAGCAAAAGATGCCGGCATGTCATGCTCCCTCATTCTTGTCTGTGGTCTTTCTGGTGTAGCAACGGTTGCCGGACTGAACATGCTTTTGCTGGAAGCTTCCAATAGCTATTACAATTAGCCGCATAAACAAACAAAAGCCTAGTCATTCAGTACACAACAACTAGGATTACTAGTATAATTGTAGCCTACTAGAAGTGAGCTCAATGTGTTTAGGATAGTCGTAGTGGCCTACTGTTCTCTGTTTATTGATTAAAATTTACCATATAGATCTATACTATATACAGAAGTATGGACTATTACAAGTCTACAGGTATACATTACGTAAATGCTAGTTATTGTAGTCAAGACAGTTTATTGCAGTAAATATAACAGTAATAACAAATTAAATCTTACTGCTAGAACTAGGTTTGGTATACAAATGAAGTATACTAAACCTAGTGAACGAGGCTGCAACTGCTACCAATATTCTTGCTATTCTTTTACTACTAAAACTCAACATGTAATTACAATATTTCTTAGGTAAAACATATGCTAACCTTCTTATAAATGTGTAAATATCATGTTATGGGTACATTTCGATAATTAATTATCAAAATAAAATTTTGTCACTCCAAATCGAAAATCTGCCATTTCCTAGAAATCCTAAAAAAATGTCCTTGTGCCCTGACGGTACTAATAAGTCCACTTGTAAACATTGATCTAATACAAAGACAATGTGATGAAAATTGTATAACTAGAAGTTAAACGCGTTTGCCTGACTATTGGAGGTGTCAATAAAATATATGTGGGGATGAAAACTTTAAAAATAAGGTAATTAAAAACAAAGGGAAATCAGGAACGTGTGTGAGAACTGTACAGAACAATTGTGAACTACTACTGAAACCGTAAGACATTGAAAATGGCGCCACACCAGAAATTTTCAAAAAACATCGATCTCTACAACTACCGGCGACTCAGGGGAGAATTAATACTATTAACTACATCAGGGGTCTCCAAACTAGGGCCCGCGGGCCGGATGCGGCCCGCGAGGTCTTCTCATCCGGCCCGCGGAGATCTTTTTGTCAACGAAAAAAAAAAATGTTTGTTGGAGGTGGCTGAGGAAAAATTCAAAACGAATTGAAAATGTAGCATTGCCAGCCGTGTTGCAGACATTGATGAAAACTTTGTGAATCAAATAGCGAAAAATTGAAGCAAGTTTCGCCATTTTTCAATTGCAACTAATGAGTCGCTGGACAGCTGACCCACCTCTCAACTGTTCGTGTTCATTAGAGAGGTGGATGAAGACAAGAATATAACACAAGAGCTGGCTTCCCTACATAACATGTATGGCACTGTTACCGGAGAGGATATATTCAATGAGTTAAAAAAATTCGTTGATTATAACTTGGCCTGGACTAACTTCTGTTACCTGACTGTTGATGGAGGAAAGTACAAGAGTAGCACAAAGAAAGGCTTGGTTGGACAAGTGAATGAGAAAAACATTCTACAACCAATGTCCCGGCACTTCATTGTTCACCAGCAAGCTTTGTGTGCTAAATATGTGGACATTAGCAGTGTAATGAATCCTGTGTTGAAGATGGTGAATTTAATAAGTTCACATGGGCTCATCCATAGATAGTTCAGAGACATGTTGAAAGATACAAACACAGGATCGCAAGAATTACCATAATTCACAGCAGTAAGATGGATAAGTTGTGTGAAAGTTATATATAAATTTAATATCGTTGGGAGGGGAAGACGGTAGACGTTCTTCGGGGGGGGGGGGGGGGGGCGGGGGCTCTGCCACCCCGAAGAGATGACTGGAAGACACTCTGGCCCCCGAACTAATATTTAATAGTTAATGCGGCCCTCGGGCTGAAAAGTTTGGAGACCCCTGAACTACATCAATAATTTTTAAAATTCGTAATTGATTAAAAATAATACAGGCACTTAATTAAAGTGGTACTTATAAGTAACGTCAGTAGATAAAGGGTTAAGATAAAAACTTAACATTACTATGTTGTGTCATGTTTGCAATAGACTACCATTTCTTAGTATTTTACATAAAAATTTCTCAAGCCAGAATCGTAATTCCCTTCATTCCATCACAAATAACGACATTTTAAAAAATATTTTGAAATACTTAATGACAGAAAATACCCTGGGTTTGTTTGAATAAAAAAGCAATATATTTAAATGGTAGGATTAAATTAAGCTTTTAAAAACTAAACGTAATGTTTGTTGTTTTGTACAAAACGTTTTTTTTTGTTTTTTTTTTTTTTGTTTCTTTCAAGTTTGCAAAGATTAATATTGTCCTTTAGGTCCTTTTTAGCTGCTTTTGAAAGTACGAAATTAAGAATAGCTAAGCTACTTACCCAAAGGGCATATCTACAACTTGTTTAATAACATCATCATAGTGGAGAGACCCCGGGCGCCAAACAGTATAGGATACTGTTGAGGCGCTGGAATACACCACTTATTTTATTAAGTTATCGATGATAGTAGCCCTCCGTATCCCTATGGCATTGCGTTCATTAAATCAAGTATATGTGCCGTAGTGCTCACGTGAGAAATTTGGGCGACGACTGGCGCGTCAATGCAGTTTGGCCATTGAATAAAGCAATAACCCTGACCCCTTGTGCAGGACTTTCAATCAACTGACCCCAGGTGCGAAGAAAGCCGCTGGGAAACTCTGGGTGACAAACTGAACCGCCTTACTGCCAAGGAGCCGCCCCCCGAACGAAATAAAGACAACATTAATCGCAGAAAACTTTACAGGAGTCAGAGTTTTTTTCTGACTTTTCTTTGAGAGGGAGACACTGCTCCTCGTGTGTGGGGTTGTGAAGGAAATTTCACAGTTAGTTGAAGAATGTCTGAAGTATTCTAAACTACTTTCCAATGTTTCATGACGATTGGTTCAGTTTTGTATTAATGGATAAAGGACAGGCAGAGAGACAAACAAAAATCTTTTAGTAGCGGCATATTAATAAAGATAATAAAATCAACAACAAAAAATTGTTATTAAGATTAAAATTAGTAGAAAAGAATTGGCAATTCATGATGTACTTAGCTTGTTGTGAAAACACTGTCCACGGCTGTTATTTCAAAAGGGTTCAATTGTAATGATGGATGGATGGAATGTCGGTGAGAGAAAGAGAGGGGGAGGTAAAGGTTTGTGGGGGCAAGGTAGAAAATTTCCCAGCCATTTAAGTCGATGTTCACATTTATTTATATTCTTATTCTCTTAACGGATATCCCGACAATTCAACAACGCCTGTAATTAATACCGATGAGCCCTATAAAACTCCCTATCCGACACTGAATGCCGTTATTTCTACAGAAAAGGAAGATGAAATCGTACTGACAGCAAAAGTTAAGTTATATAAACAGT